AATTGTTGTTCGTTAGGTTCACTGATTCAAAGATCCAATTTTTGCTGATGGACTATAAACACCTGACAATGAATGGACTAAAATGGACAAGGATGGTACTGAAATTTCTTAGTCAGACCTACATTGATGAGAGAATGAAACTAGTTTATAGCAAAAAGCTATGATCAAACACAGAATAAGAGAAAAAATCCGGGAGAAAATAATTCAAACTGCTCGAGGTACTTGATGCAAAAAATACTTATATACAATGATTAATAAGAGCTAATAACTAAAATGGAAAAAACGAGTCGCAGGTTTACTCTGCTAAATTTCTGAGAACAAATCAAAAGGAAAAAATAGGAATTTCTCGGTTTTTCTCCGAGATTGCGAATAAGATGGGTGCTAATAAAAACCCCTTTGAGCTGAAGACTTTCCAAGTTTTAGAAAAAATCTATATCATTCGAGATTTGAACACATTTTTGGAACGAATTTCGTGAAAAAATATTCAGCATTTTTTGAAACCCCTAATCTGAATTTGGAGTCGAAAATGTAAGTGACTAAATTAAAGAGAGGTTCTTTAAGGGGAGCTTATTAACTTCGGATGGATAAAATTATATATACCTGCTGAATAAAAATTTCTCAAGTCCACAGAAACCTATACAGAAAAAGCATGGAAAAATGCAATGAGAGGTTTTCTAGCAGTTTTTTGACGGAAACATCAGTTTTCAAGAAATTCAGTGTCCAGGTTCATTAATGCTTCATCAAAAGAAAGCCAGTTCTGCTTACCATCAGAAGGCAGAGAAGTGAGTTTCTTTCAGTGGTTACTTTCTGCAAGGGCAGGGGCAGTACAAGGAAGTTAGTTACATATTAAGAATTCTTGCAAATCCTTCACTTTTTTTCTAATTCCACTCTTAAAAGATTCTTTAATTCAAATAACGAACACTCAAAGGACGATTGATGCAAGAGGTTACACATTTTACTATCGTCTCAGCCTATTTACGAAGCAACCACTACACAGCATTTGGTTATGGTTTGAGAGGGCTCCTACAAGTAAGTGCTTCCAATAATGAGGGAAACGAGTCTAAATTAGGCTTGAAGAATCATTCCCTAGAGTTCGGTCACATGACCCTTGAATACTTTATGAACCAAATTTGGAGAGGGTAAAATAGGTGATGAGGGGACAAAAAAAATATACGGAACCTATTTTTCTTAATACTCAGAGTTCAAAATTATGAGTGCTGAATTGTTCAAACTAATCCTTGTTGGTAAGATATCAGTACGCAATTTTCGATAATACCAACAAATTCTAGTAAGCCACTGGTGTCAGAATCTGCTGGCTATGTTGGAAACTATTAAGCTCTGACATGAGTGTCCGTTGTTGCCCACAGAGCTGGATTTAGGGCAGCACTGACGGTGATAGGGCACTGGGCAGCAAATTTCGGGTTTATTTATTCATTCTTTTGAGAGAAGGAGAGAAAGGGGGAAACAAGAGGGAGAGACTGAGAGTGGAAGAAAAAAATGACGAAAATGCTGTTGGAAGGACTCAAATTTCTCGATTTTCCTCAATGTAATGGACTTGCTTAAGAGGTCAACATAACTGGTTTTGAGACAAGAAAATCTCGAGAATGGTTTTTTATAACACATCATGACAAACGTGTCTTTAAAAACAAGAAAATCTCGATAATGGTTTTTTATGACACATCATGGCAAACGTGTCTTTAAGAAAATTACATAATTTTGAATACTTGGAGTGATATTTTCCACAAAAAAATAGTATCGCTTGCTGAGAGCTGTGCTTGAACAAAAAAAAGGAAATTAAAAAACAAAAGAATTTAGAACAAGATGAAAAAATTGTGGATGTTGAAAGTAACCATGCCTTTTTGCTTTTTAGACCATTAAAAACTTTCAATTGGGACCTGGCAATTTTTTGAAAGGTAGATAGGAAAAAGGAAACTAAAAGACACTTTGAAAAAGAACTTCTGGGTTAAAAAAGTAAACTTTGGAGTAAGCTGGACACTCAAAGAACCTTGGTTTCCTAGAGTTAAATTATAATTAATAGAGGAATCATGACAGATTGGCCTAATCTGCTGAGGTGCAAATGTTAAAATGAGAGGTGATGCGCCAAGATGTCACATAGTGAAAACTATCCTCTCTTTAAAATTTATTTTTATCTTACTTCGAGGGGAAACAGAACTATACATTTTTTGACACTTTATATTCAAGGAATGATACATGTCCCTTTCTTCTTCCTTCACCCCTACCTTTACTTGTATCAAGTAGGTGCTCAAAAACCCTCAGATCCTCCAAAAAATACTGTACTTATCAAAAATATCAAATTTTAAAAGGCCAACTGAAATTTGATCAAACGAACGGGCATTCACATTTTATTTACAGAAAAACGAACTTCATTCAAACTTCATTTACCAAAAGAAATGAAATGAATTGAGTATCTAAAATATATAAGTAAAAATAATGTTAACGTACATATAATAAAAGAGAAAATAAGAAACAATTCTTAAATTCTAGGAACAAATATGTAATGAAATATAAAAACACTTCATTTTACCATTAAATAGACAATTTTTGTCCAACGAAGTCATGACTGCCAATTAAAATTATGAAAGAGGGCTCCAGGAATTTTTTGTATGCTACTGCACAAAGCCTATATTTGAGCTGCTCTTTATCGGTTGTTACCTGACAGAAAACCAACAGGGTCTGAACCCCAGGGTCCCAGGGTCTGGGAGATTGAACCGAAGAGCCAATGATTGAAACAGGTGGCGAAACCAAACCAACTTGGCAAACAGGGTAGGGGTCTGAAATTAAACTGGACATTTTTGGCAGTATTTCAAGCACAGCTGATTCAGATCAATCTGATCAGTAGCCTGATGAGCGCCTTTGAAGAGGAGTATCAAACATGAATTCCACTCTGTTCTTCAGAACAAATGCCAATCTAGCAAAGAATTACATTACCTCTCATGAACTGACCAGTTCGCTCCTACTACTGCCAATCGTTTTTTGGAGGCAATACTCTCCAAGTTCTAGAATCAGGATGGAAAACCCTTCAACCTGCTCTAAACTCCTCATCGAGAAGGTAGATCAAAAGGCATTTGTCAGGCATTTGAGGTATCAAGTAAGATTTTATTTCCTCAAGATGTCTGGTTTCTAGTCTGTTATCCCTGAACATGGAATGTGCCCTTTTTTAAAATTTCACAGCCTCCGACTAATTCCTGACCATATAGCAGTGAGGCTTCATGGAAAACTTTAAAATACCAATTCTATGAAAATGATATCTCCTCTGTCACTGATGCAGGGGTGTAGTGAATGCGAAACAGCGGAGTCCAGATTCCTCTTACATTTAGGTTTCTTCCTCTTTTCTTTAGCAATTGGAATTTTTAAAACTGTTTTCAGAAGAATTGAAAGATTGATTTGAAGAATGTCTCAAAATTTCCAAAACATTTTGAAGCCAAGTCCTAAATTTCCGTGGCTTTTCAGGGAAGTTCGGAAAATTTTACCATCATTCTACATCGAGGAAAGTTTCAGAATTTTGCAAATTTTTCTTTTCAGTTCCTGGTTCTTCCTCATTTTGGAGACTCAGTTTCGACATTTTCAAAAATTTTTAGCTAACTTTGGACTTCCCCTTGCTACTTACAGAAATTCAGAATCTTCCTAATTTTCTATAACAGTCCTAGCCTTTGGGATGCTTTTGAATCTTCTTGATTTTTTACAAGTTTTGGAATTAACCTGCATATTTTACAAGGTTCTTACATTCAGCAAGCCTCTTGTCATGTCAGAAAAATCACCTCCTAAATTATAAATTTTCAGTGAGCTTTAAAATTTCCCTGACTTTTCGGAAGATGTTAGAAGTTTTCTACTTCATGATAACAGATCTTCTCCAATTTTCTAGCATGTTTTCTGGAGTATCTGAAATTTTTGAATATTTCTAGCTTGTTTCGAAAGATTGACACAAATCCTTTTTCCTATGTTACAGCCTGTTGCAGAGAAACGCTGCTTCTCACAAGGGGAGTCTACGAAGTGACATCCTGGGATTTGGTTCATTTTGCTTGTACATGAAGAAGAGACAAATCTAAGGTTGACGTATTTTTTTTTAGCCGCCACCTCCCAACCGTTCTCGAGATATCGATTTTTAAAGTTACGATTTTTGCACGTTTCCGCGCGGAGTTCCGGCGAGTCAACTGAGCGCCGGCAAGCTGCACGAAGCGCGTTTCCTATCAGCGCTGCAGACCGGCCGTCATTATCATCTGCTCCGTAGCCGAGTGGTAGAGTATTCGCCTACCGTACCAACGATCGCGGGTTCGAGTCCAGCTTCGAGCCGTAGCTTTTAGGGAACGCCACAATGCGTTTATACAAGTTTTCTTTATTTTTATCACACACCAAGGGGTCCGCCCCCTGGCCGCTACGCAGCCCAACCCCCGGGGCGAAAAGGCCCGCTTCGCGACAAGCGAAATCATCGAAATCGACCGTTGACGGTTGCAAATTCAGAGTAAGGAAAAAGTCATTAGGAATATTGTGTGGTGGAAAATTTTTATTTGAAACATCATTTTATCATTCAATTAAAATTATTCACCCAGTAACCCTCAACGGTCGATTTCGATGATTTCGCTTGCCGCGAAGCGGGCCTTTTCGCCCCGGGGGTTGGGCTGCGTAGCGGCCAGGGGGCGGACCCCTTGGTGTGTGATAAAAATAAAGAAAACTTGTAAAAACGCAATGCGGCGTTCCCTAAAAGCTACAGCTCGAAGCTGGACTCGAACCCGCGATCGACGATACGGTAGGCGAATACTCTACCACTCGGCTACGGAGCAGATGATAATGACGGCCGGTCTGCAGCGCTGATAGGAAACGCGCTTCGTGCAGCTTGCCGGCGCTCAGTTGACTCGCCGGAACTCCGCGCGGAAACGTGCAAAAATCGTAACTTTAAAAATCGATATCTCGAGAACGGTTGGGAGGTGGCGGCTAAAAAAAAATACGTCAACCTTAGATTTGTCTCTTCTTCATGTACAAGCAAAATGAACCAAATCCCAGGATGTCACTTCGTAGACTCCCCTTGTCAGTCAAAACTTGTTTAACCTTTTTGATAGGTTCTTTAAAATGAGGAACATTTTCAAACTTCATTTGAAAAGCATTGTAAATATGGAAGGAAATTTGTTCCTGCACCCCTGCAAGCGTTAACATTTTTTTGTAGGTGCATAAGTTTACCTGCATGACCTGTTGAATTTTGACACAGTGAACTCAACATTGATTGTCCCAGTGTTCAAACAAGATTCTTACATTCTCAAAGCAATATTTCATGATTGGTTTGAGAAGGCAGTGCATACTGAAACAGAAGCCACCAAATTATGCAAGAAGTTTTAATTCCCTCTCTTTTTGAGGAAGAGGAGAGGGGGAGGTAAAAATTGTACAAAATTTCCGATCAGATTTACTAGGGTGGCCGAAAGTTACTAAAAATGATAATTTAACAAGTGATGTCTAGAATTTTGAATTTCCTGATACCCCATATTTTCTAAAGGATAGTTTACATTGGATTCCCTCTCACTTTCTGTGAAAAGAAACGGATTTTTCCCTAGAAAGTTAGGCAAAAACAAGAAAATATACTTCTACTTGTGATTTTCTCTCCCTCCTACCCCTCCAGTGGCATCAATCACATGTTGCTTCAGGAATTGATTCGGATATATTTGGTACATGCGGTGTCATCATGGTTTTAAACAATGATATCAATGGAACACCCATGGAAGACATCATTGTGGCATCAGTTGACGATGACGTTTAAGTTATTTTTTTCTCAATACATTTCTCTCTTCAGGAAAAAGAAATTCAGGACGCCTGTTGTAATTAATTGTGCTACCTATCAAGGGATATATAGGTATTCAATAGATATCATACCTTCTCCGGAGCATTTACAGCATTATACTTGACTATATGGTGTAAGATATTTTCCAGTGGTGAGGAACCATAAATCTGCCGCCACTGAAGTTCTCTGAGCAGTTGCTCTCCATTTGAATTGCTCAGTTCTTGAATTTGTTGACAGACGTTTACTGTCATAGCCCAAATAGTTTCTGGAAATGTAATTAAATGATGAGCAAGAGAACTGATAGTGAAGTACAATTTGATAATTCAATCAAGTGGATTTTGCCACATAATTTTATTTGGTTATACCATTTCTTCAAAATCAAAAGTCCAGCATTATTTTGTGTATACAAGATGAATTTTTAAGAGAAAAACTTAAGGCTCCTTTAGGTTTCCGTTGAAGTCACAACTTATTGTGAGTTGTGAATGTGTACTGCTAAATTTTCCAAGCCTGAGTTGGAAAAATTGACAAGGCAACAGTAATACTGTTTCCTGACAAAGAATAACTCATTTAGATTCCTCATGGATTCCACTGGTCTCTTGACAGATAATATGGCTGAATAATCGACCACAGACTTGACCGGTTGATGGATAGCCTATTCAGGCTGTCGAATGACAGTCAACCCGACTGGACCATCTGTCCATCTGAATGGTCCTGGCTCATCTGAATTATTTGTCTGTCGGCCAGTCAAAATACTGTCAATCCACCAATCCAACCGACAGACGCCTAACCAATACAATCAACTGTTCATCACCCAGCTAAATTGAATATTGAACGACCGGTCAAATCGTTGGTCAAGTATGCAGCTAAATGTTGATGAACCAGTAAACAGGGTGGAAAAGCCAATATAGCCGCTCAACAGTCCCTGTGCTTACACTGTTGATGCTTATTCCAATTTCATGGGTCAAAATCGTTTTTAGCAAATAGGTGGACCCAGAATAAAGAAAATAAAGGTTTTGCCAATCCCCTTGGTTATATCACGTCACTCACATCGCTCAATGGTTTGATCTAACAATGATCCGCTTCTCGGACCAGCCTTTTAAACCAACCTTCAGTTAATGTCACCTTAATTTTTCTCAACTATCCGATCTGATGCGATGTATTTTTAAATCATTCACATCAATTTGTACATGGTCAAAATGGTTTTAGACAATGCAAATTTAAATGTTAAATACAGTAAAAAATGTGAGATCAGAAATCTGTTCCTAATGAACACTTCAATAAGAAACAAAATTTTGGTGATTTCATTCAGTGATTTTGTGTCAGTGGTTATCAGAGAATGAAATTAAGATTTGGATAGCTTTCTGCGAAACACTTGAGGAAACGACTTTTGAGTAGCTGGATTGGCTTTTTCCGCACTATGCATTGACTTGTATTGCCTGCTAATAAGCCATTAAAATCTATTGCCGATGGGCAAGTCTAATCAATTGTCGATCAACCAGTGAAACTGACTGTAGATTAACAAAAGAAGACATGAGTCAATACACCCGACGAATCTACTCTTGAGCAACCATTTCATTACCTTATTGTCAATGGACGATTCAACCAGTTTATCAACAATCTATTTGACTGGTCAATCAAAAAACAATTCCACTAATCAGCAAGCTGGTCAAATTCAAATTCAAGCTGGTAAAATAGTCACCCAAAGGACAGATACATTTGTCTTTCTATCAAATTACTGAATCATCTCTTGATCAACCCATGGAATTATCTGACAATTGAGCAGCTAAATGGGCTGTGGGTCAACCGGTCAAATTTTCTGCCGATTAGATTAACCACCTGCATAGTCTGTCCCTTAACCTGTCAATCAACCAGTAGAATCTTTTATCGATCGACTAATTAAATCTTCTATCCATACATCAGTCAAAACTTTCCAATCGAATCTTCTTTCGATCGACCAGTTGAGGCCGCTGTTGATCGACCGATCAACAAATGATTTAAACAGTTTACTAACAGTCAGTCCAACCGATTTCTTGACTGACAATTAAACTGATCACATCATTTCTAGACCGACCATTTAAATCATCTCATCATCTATACCATCATCTCTTGATTTAATGTTCAAAGTGTCTCTAGATAGACTGACCACATCATCTCTTGACCAACGTACAGTTCATCTCTCCAGAGGTGCAGAATCTTCCAAGCTTCCACATTTTTACACGCCCGCCGAGCAGATTTCCAAATTTTTCTCATCAGTTTTCCAAAAAAATTTCCCACCAACTTCAAATAAGAGGACCTTTTCTCTCTTCTTTTCTTTGATTTTCGACTTTTGACCCTTTAGATTTTCCCTCCTTCCACATTTGTAAGGGCCTTTCCACATTTCCACTTATCCGAGCAGGCGCGTGATGGAGCATTCTCTATACCCCTGAATCTCAATGAAAAGATTGTATCCACTCTCCATCATACCATCAAATCACTTCTCTATCAATCAGTGAAATCATCACTAGAAATCTCTCCATTCAACAGGCTAACCAACACACAATCGACCAGTCTATCCATGACAATTTCATCGGTCGATCTACAGGCAATTTAAAAAGTACATTTAGCTGGTTTGTAGACACTTGAATCATCTGTCCATTAACAGCTGCATCGACTAGACAAACTACGAGCTGAAAAACCGGTTGAATTGACCAGCCAAAACAACTGTCCGTCGACCAGTGGAATCAACTGACAACTAACAAGCTAATTTGTTTGCCGGTGGGCCAGTCAAATCAGATGTCTATAAACCATTGTCTCTCGATTGACCAGTCGAGTCTAAGAAAAATACCCATAATAAAATCTGATGATAAGCTGGTTGAATAGTCTGGCATTGTGAGATAATTGAATGGTTAATTGTGAAACAATTCACCCGGTCCATTGACACATGATTCCACAAGTTGATCCACAGTCGATTTCATTGGTCTATTAACAGGTGATACAACTGGCGGATACGTAGTCCATTCGAATCAGTTATAGCATAACATTTCATCAAAGCAGGAGCTGAGAGTTGGGTTTTTCATCATAATTCTAAACATCAGTCTCTGAATTGCTCGTTTTAATAAAAGAAAAAAGAAACAAAAAGAAGTTGGATCTACTTTTACCTAGATTTTTTAGTGATTTCTGGTCATCTAAAGGATCCAGAGACATAAGAGCATCTGTGCTAATAATATCAGTCATTCCTTTGACTTGCAATAGATCGGAGTAAAGTCCTTGACTAGTAACGATGGTTGACCCGAGCATTACATGTGCCAACACTGCGTCTACAATTTTAGAATTATCCTGTAACAGGAACAGTAAGAATGAAAAGGGCTAGAGGCGAATAACATTCTTGATAGGAACAACCACTGAAATACCCACGACGTAAAGTAGCATGAATGAAAGGCATCGAGTGCTGTAAGAATTCTTCCACTGCTACGGGTAGGTAGTCAATAGAGTTCTTGCATGAGTTAAGGATTTGCAATTAGAGTGCTTTGATTACATAAAACTTTGCTAGAAAGACAATGGTGCCACTGATTTTCTCTGAAATCAATACCAAGCTCAAAAAAGCTCTTAAGGTTCAGGCCTCTATGGCGAGGATATCCGATATCCCACACTATGTTGAGAGGCCAGCTGTATATCTAGTCAAACTCTCCATGCACAGATAAAGATCAAATACATTAACAGGGTTGTCAATTTATTTGGGGACTCCAAAGTTGGAACCACGGCAACCCCACATGCTAATGTATTTGCTCCCCACCTGTGGATGGAAGATTTGACTTGATTCAGAAGTAGACTTTCAACGTGGTGTGGGATACCTCCTCCATTAAGGTCTGAACTTAGAGAGCTTTATTTTGAGCTTCAGATGTGGTTTCAAAGAAAACCAGTGGCACCATTATATGGCACCTTCTAGCGAATCATTACGAAAGAAAAAGTACTTAAAGCGGAAATCCCCGGCACATCAAGCAAGAACTTCATTATGGGTGCAGTATATTTAAAGAGATAAATCAATGATGATTACATTTTGACTCTCTGATGTGTGATGTGCTTTCACCCAGAAATTCTGCAAATTTTGCGATTGGTCCAATAAAACCTACCCCCTTTTCATATAGAGATGGCTTCTCCTATAAGGATTCGAACCAAGTATCCATGAAACCTTACTACCGCGTAACTTAATCAAAGATCCTAAATTACGATTCTTTAAGCCCAATATAAACTTCCTATCTATGGATAACATATAAAAAGTAGATCCAAGTATTATCTTAGCAGAATTTACATTCCCATTACTCAACCAATATAACAACTACATTCAATGCTATACAGATGAAGACGAAACCCATGGATATGTAACATCCACTTTTCTGATTAACAATTTTTTTTAAAATTTTTAAGCTTCCTTACTTTCACACAATCTTCGATGCAGAAGGTTTTGCAAATTTACAAGCTATTGATTACATCATCAGATCAAACTTTCAAAAGTAGCTAATTTTTTCCGATTCCCATAGCGTCCTCTAAAACCTAAATAATAACAAGGCGACCGACCTGTACCCTTGATCAATGAAATTAAAATCAAACTCTATGAAAATAAGAATCTTAATATTAATCTTCTCTGGATTCCCAGCCATTCCAGAATTTCAGGTATTTAAAAAGTAGACTACTTTACTAAGATCCTGCCTTAGGCAAATAACATTGAAAATTATATCACCTACTCCCAACTATTACCTGTAAGAAATCGTCATATAAATTATAAATGGAACCACGACTGGGTCTCTTGTACGTGGAAAGGCCTGAAACTAAAATTCATCCTTCCTTCAATTCCGAAAAAACCTTGGTTCTAAAAAAGTCCTTGGTCGCACAAAGACTTGAAAAATCTTATTAAACTACAAATTGGACATGGCCCCTAGGGTGGGACTTATTTTTTAAATCGACGAAACCAACTGTTCCACGGTCTTAAATGGTTCCCCGTGATAAAAAAACGCGGTAGTTAAGAGGATTTTGAAAAAAAAAAATTTAACCCAGCGCGCACAGAGTCTGAACATCGAGATTTTTCCGGTTTTTTGGGCATTTTCGCCGTATATTTTTGATATTTTTGCCAGCAACACGGATTTGACTCTAGATGTCCAAAAATTGATACAAACCTAGCACATACCTTGCAGATTAAGGGAAAGTTTTTGTTTTTCTCCTAGGTCACTCTCACTTCGCTTGGTGATGCCCAAACTCTCCGCTCGGCAGCTCTAACAATCGAAATTTCGCCGTTTTTTAACGTATAATGAACTTTTTGAGCAGCCTATATTGTAGTAAAAATCCGAAAATTCGTGGATAGTAAGTCCATACCATCAGTATGGAAGGGCAAATGTCAGAAAACTCCTAGGTCTTTTGTTTTCCGCCAAGCTATGCCCACAATGTCGGAAAACCCGTCAAAAATAGCTCAATTTTGACCGTTTTTTCGCGTTCGAAAATTTATTGGACACCCTGTAATGACAATGAAGGCCCGAAAATTTGTGGAAAAAAAGTTCATTCCATCTTCATGCAATAAAAAATTCTACTTCGTTCCTATGTAATGCATTCTTCGTTCTGCGATCCCCTTAATCACATCGGAGACGTCAAATATACCTGAATGGACCACTAGACAAGGTACGAATTTAAGCATTCTGATACATGTTTCTTAACCACAATTTCACGTAGAGCATGATTCGCGCAACGAAAACTACTGAAACAGACTCCAAACGAAGATATTAACGTTTTTATTTCACATCGGTTACAAGGAATTTGAACTGCCCGCTCACAAGAAGCTCGAAGCTCCACGCGAGTCAAATCGCGCACTACAACGGTTTTACCAAGCTTCTCAGCCGAGTAATGTTCATTTCCCACCATTTGTTGTTCAAACTATAAGTAATTTGCTATAGCTGAGCCAAAGCGTCAAGATTGAGGTTGCCAGATTTTTTTATTGCAGAGACATTCATGATAACGTTTAGCGCGCGATGTGAATCACGTAGAGTATTGAGTTTTCATGAGCGGGTGGTTTGAATTCACGCATCAAGAATCATTCAATATCTTCGGAAGGAGTTGATTTCGGTAAGATTCGTTGTGCGCATCGTGTTTCACGTGAAATTTTGGTGAAGAAACATGTATCAGAATGCTGAAATTCGTACCTTGTCTAGTGGTCCATTCCGCCAATTTTTCGTGCGTGAAATTTTTTCGGCACCCTGTTATTACAACAGCGACTCTTGTGAGTGCCAAGCAAATATACGAGGGGCGTTCAATAAGTAAGTATCCCCCCTCTCTAAAATCCATAAAAATGGACCAATTTTAAAAAACTTGGGCTCAAAATCTTCCTTAGGATATTTTGAGTTCAACAAAACAAACCGCAACAAAATCGGACTATGTGCGGCCGAAGGCGAGCCGTTTGAACGCGCCGAGGTGCTCGACGCTCCCGCCGAATCCGCGAGGATTTGAAGTCCGCTACAGGAGAAGAGCTTCTCTGCCAAAGCCTCAGTCGTTCATCACTGACGAAAAATCAAAGAAATATTTGTAGAATAAGGGGCTTACCTCACTTCTCCACATAACCAGCTCGATCCAAGCAAGTCTGGTACTGAGACTAAGACTAAGAGAACAGCTTTTGGATGCCTCGTGCGTGGAAGTCTTTCAGCTGACCGCGGATGAAAGAGTGGACGGCTTGTTTGACCTCTTCCACTGATTCAAAATTAACTCCTCCGAGTTCAGGTTTCAGGAACGGGAATAAATGGTGGTCCGGTTTGCCATTTATTATCGTATCTGAAATCTGAACTCGGAGGAGTTAATTTTGAATCAGTGGAAGAGGTCAAACAAGCCGTCCACTCTTTCATCCGCGGTCAGCTGAAAGACTTCCACGCACGAGGCATCCAAAAGCTGTTCTCTTAGTCTTAGTCTCAGTACCAGACTTGCTTGGATCGAGCTGGTTATGTGGAGAAGTGAGGTAAGCCCCTTATTCTACAAAAATTTCTTTGATTTTTCGTCAGTGATGAACGACTAAGGCTTTGGCAGAGAAGCTCTTCTCCTGTAGCGGACTTTAAATCCTCGCGGATTTGGCGGGAGCGTCGAGCACCTCGGCGCGTTCAAACGGCTCGCGTTCGGCCGCACATAGTCCGATTTTGTTGCGGTTTGTTTTGTTGAACTCAAAATATCCTAAGGAAGATTTTGAGCCCAAGTTTTTTAAAATTGGTCCATTTTTATGGATTTTAGAGAGGGGGGATACTTACTTATTGAACGCCCCTCGTACGTTGTACATCAGAACGGAACGGCAATTTTTCAAAGACCCTTACATTTTTTTTGTTGTCGCCAGACGCCCTAGAGTGAAGCGAAAACGTCAAAAATACCTAAATTTGTCTGTTTCTTTCTTTCCGCACTAGCTTCTTTTATACTTTCGGAACTCCGCTGTCAGTACAGAGTGTCTGAAAAATGATTCGGAAAAAAAAAATAGGCGGAATCAGGTATATTTGACGTCTCCGATGCGATTGCGGGCACCGCACAACGAGGAATGCATTACATAGGAACGAAGTAGAATTTTTTATTGCATGAAGATGAAATGAACTTACTTTCCACAAATTTTTGGGCCTTCATTGTCATTACAGGGTGTCCAATAAATTTTCGAACGCGAAAAAACGGTCAAAATTGAGCTATTTTTGACGGGTTTTCCGACATAGTGGGCATAGCTTGGCGGAAAACAAAAGACCTAGGAGTTTTCTGACATTTGCTCTTCCATACTGATGGTATGGACTTACTATCTACAAATTTTCGGATTTTTACTACGATACAGGCTGCTCAAAAAGTTCATTATACGTTAAAAAACGACGAAATTTCAATGGTTAGAGCTGCCGAGCGGAGGGTTTGGACATTACCAAGCGAAGTGAGAGTGACCTAGGAGAAAAACAAAAACTTTACCTTAATCTGCAAGGTATGTGCTAGGTTTGTATCAATTTTTGGACATCTAGAGTCAAATCCGTGTTGCTGGCAAAAATATCAAAAATATACGGCGAAAATGCCAAAAAAAACCGGAAAAATCTCGATGTTGAGACTCTGTGTGCGCTTGGTTAAATTTTTTTTTTTTCAAAATCCTCTTGACTACCGCGTTTTTTTATCACGGGGAACCATTTAAGACCGTGGAACATTTGGTTTCGTCGATTTAAAAAAATAAGTCCTACCCTAATGTCCCTCCCCCTCCCACCTTCACAAATTAAAACTAGCCCCTAACATCCTGCAATTGCGGTTTGGAAGGTGACTTGAACCATATCATGTTTCAATGTAATAGATTGAAAAATTGAAAACAACTTGTGGACACCCTAGCTAAAAAGTTAGTCCCTCCCTATAACGTCTAATACATTCTTTTTGACCAACATCTTGAAATATAAAAAGCAATCATTAATTTCATCAAAATTAATAACATCTCGCTATGAAAAGACCCTCCCATACTTAAATATTAGCGCAGAAGACTAATTAGGCTTATGCCTAACAATCATCCGAACTTTCTCTTGACTTTTTCATCACATAATCATCAAACTCCCAAACATTCTCTTCCTGTAAAGTCCCTTTGTCTATTTTCCAGGGCTCAGTCTCTTTGGGTTAGGAATTCACCTTAACTGGCCTTAAGGTGTGAAGATGGTGATAGTTAAGCTTCTCAACATATTTCCAAACGCCCCTATCCAACCCATCCCTCAAACTAAATCATACCACATCTGTCACATAAACACCTCTTCATAATTTCAATTGGTCTATAGTTGGCTGTAGGCCCCACAGGGATATAAGCCATTAAACCAACAGAAAAAAAGAGAAAAAAACTCTTGCAATTCAGATGAAGCCTGTTCCTAAATGAGTGCTAATTCCTAATTTTCCCGAATTATAAAAATTAAAATCTAAAAATCTATTAAAAATATAAATTACAATTTTAATAATATATTTAATAAATACTATTATAAAAAAATTTATAAAAATAAAATCCAATTTAAGTTTTCAATTTTCCCCCCTATTTTACCTCCCCGTTTTAATTGGTATGATGGTGCTCTTTCAGATCCACGTTCCACCTCTTTCAGATTCTCTCTGAAAATGAGATTTTCCATGTTGGTAATAATGTTTCTCATAAGAAGTGACAGTTATTAAGTCATTGAGTAGTCATAACACAGTGTGTGATGATGATTAATGCTGTGAATTGTACCCATGAGGATAAGCTACTTTCTTTTTTCACCTTTAAAGGGATTTGGGCGATAAGATGAGTTATTTTTCATCTCCGTTCTAATAACAAACCCAGCAAAAGAGAGGTTAAAGAGGAGATATACATCTTGTAGCCAGATGTATGGATTTTGCATGGCTGGCTACAAGCACCACATGCACATGATCACACGACTTTCCCTGCAATGGAGAATTTGCACGCAAATTTTTTATTACTTCATCTGAAACTGCCTGAAGAGCTGATTTTGCAGTATTTTTTATAGTTTTTTTCGGCCATGAGAAATAGTATATGAGTAGTGAAGAAATAGTATACTAAAGTGAGAAAATGCACCGCCTAGTGACGTTATCTGGCGGCATTTTCCATTTAAACGCATGAATTTTAGCAGATTAGATCATTGTGTCATATCTCCTCCAATAATTGTTCAATTTATGAACCAAGGGTATACTCGAGTTCAGCTCACTTACAAAGTAGCGTCAACTTAAACACGAAATTTATCAAATTTCAGACACCTGCAAATTCTCCATTACGCATCTATGGTCATGCAACTACTCCTGAGACTACCTATCTGCCGTCAGCAACCTATAAAAAAAACATTTCATGATTGTTCCTTTGACCAAGGATAGTGTGGGAAAGCCTTACCGCTATGAAAACAAATATTTCATATACAGCTATTTGAGCACTGATTGTGTCATTCTGACCAACACCAACACCCTATGTTGGATGAAACATGACTGGCTACCCAACTTAACACGAGAGAATAATTAATTGATAACTAGCAGCGGCTAAAAGTCACACCAAGACATGTATTTAATTTACTTTCGTCTAACAGAAAATGAACATTTCTCGATAAAGGAAACTAACAACATATTTTGACACAAATTGGTAACCATACGATCAGAGCCACGGTGATGCCATGCAGTGTTTGAAACACACACCGACCAAACAGCAATTTGCCGGTGCGAAATTGCCTTTGGCCACTAAGAAATGAAATTGGCAGCCAAGGCTTGGCCGCTAAGGCACATTCTGCAAGGTGCCACGTCGTGTTGTGTTATGAATTCTTCCCCAAGTTTCGTGACACATTGGGTCTTGTCCCAACATCGCTTTTCAATGGGGTATTCCTGACTCGAGGCATTTCAAAAGGGCACTTTTTCATTTTGGCCCCTGAGAAATCTGAGATGGCCCCTAAAAAAAAAAAAAGGTGCAGACCAGATGGCTGCTAATACTTCACACCGAGTTTCAAACACTGTGACTCTGCATTGCACAGAGTATGCTCACTGAGGAGAGAAAATTCTCATTCAGAGCATAATTTCCCTCATGGAGTCAAGCTGTTTGGTGCAACACCCGTTACGTTTGATCAGAAAGCAGCTGTAGATGCTTTTTCCAGTCTAATTGGACCCATCATCAATACAGCACAGCTTTATGATTTTTTACTTTCACTAATGGAGACCAACCAGAAATTGGGCAAGCAGCTGTGGCAGCCAGCGATCCAGCACACTTTCTATAGAGCAATGGGCCTGTTGCATGCAAGAGATACAGCTGAGCGAATAGACTTTATAGACTTTATATAGACTATATATATACATTTCATTTCACGATATCACGAGCTCCGATTTTTAGGTTATGTTGTCAGTTTTAGTTGACCGGAAATAGCCGCGAGTTGCCGTTCATTGTTTCCGTAAGAAAACTGCCCCCGACGCGGGAAATTTGAAAAAGCGCGCTCCTAACAACGCAAATTGCGTAATAAGGAGTGTATTTCAGATTTTTTTAATGTGACCATCGTAATTTTCATGACATTTAACCTCTAAAAAGTCTGTTCGCACGGCTGTATCTCTTGCATGCAACAGGCCCATTATTCAGTATTCTTTGCCTTTCTAATAAAAATATTTGCTCCTCATTTTTGGACAACAAAGAGGTCTCATGGAAATTGATCAAACTTTACCTTTGAGTCCAAAATCTTGGCCCATACTCGTGTTGGTATGTGATTTGTATCTGCAATGCAAAGGATCCTTTTACTGTAATTATTATTATGAGGTGTGAGCATCATGCATCCATCAGGAAAAACATCAACAATTATAACAGCTTCTGGACCACCGAGCTGTGATGTTTCCGGGTGATTGTTGATATACCACTCCGCAACTGCTGAACACTGAGAATAAATACGTTTTGCTACATTTGGTTTTAACGACTTCTGATCGCAAATATCCTCCACTGGCAGACTATTACACCAAGATTGAATACCGCGAACAGCATAACTTAAATCACATTTGAACTCAGATAAGAATGAACCTTGTCTGATGGGTACTTTTTTCTTGCATTTTGGGCAACACCAGTTATGTTTGTCGACCACCCGAGCCTTGCTCCAAGTCAGTGTTTCCTCCCCACATTCCGGCTGTTGACATTTCATCTCTCTTGATATTAGCCCCACTGATTTTAACCACTCACACAAATCACCTTCTTTCCCGGGAGTGAGTAACGGTTCCACAACCGTTTCAAAGTAACCTTTTGTGCTGTAACAAAAAAAAAAAGAAGCATATGAAGTACCTAATGTCAACTTATTGTGGTGCTTCGAACTGAACAGGTTTTTTGAAGAGGGGCGGAAACTCCAGTAGGTGGGTGATCAAGTTTCGAGAAAACGTGAAAATAATTGATTTCTTATAAAAAGTATCAATGTTTCTGTTCTACACACCATCTTTAGTAAGACCATGGTCACATGAACAAGGTTGGAGAAATTGGGAAAGAAATACATTTTTTTAAATTTTGGTGAATATGCCCTTCTCCCACAAAACCGCTCACCACTGCCATTTGTAACGGTATAATGACTGTCAAGTAGAATGCGTGTTTGATGACAATGTTAAAATGATAGTTTGTGCACTTGCTCATGGTGTTGATCATAATATAGAGGTCACATCCGCTGGTACCTAGAGGTGGCTCAGGACTTGCACCCTTTTTTTGCTACAGAAGATATTCTAAAGTTATTCAAAGAATAATACTCATTTTGTTAAACACTCTCTTTCTGAAAATTTGGCCCTTTTTCAAACAACCCATTCAACCCATTCAGGGTTAGCAATGCTGCAAAGTGATACCTTACTGATTTCAAAAGTACGTACAGCACTAGGTTTTACACCATATTAGAGAGCTAATATCTCTGAGGCCAAAGAGTGAAACGACACATCTCTTTTTATGACATTGCAGATTTCCTTCCATGCTTCATTTTTTCTTTGAAAAACTAGTCAACGTAATTTCTTGTACATTTCCTTGATTTCTTTCTCTCTATTACTTAGCATAATCTTGTGTATAAATTTAAAGCTATAAAGTTGGCTTATTTCTCTTCTGAAAAATTAAATAAGAGCAGAAATTTTAAGACACTGCAATGAAGATACGTTGTTTTGCACTTCGGCCATGGATATGTTTCCATATGATTTTAATAGCCGGTTCGTTATCGCCAAACGGTCAACTAATTGGTACATTCCACACCACAAAAAGTTTGCTCTAGTAATCTTAAAAATTGGATGAAATATAGGCCTTCTTATCAGGCAAAATTGCCAGCAGTCCGAAAGAAGATACATATCGATGACCTGAGTGCAAGACCACGCATCTTTATTGTGTCGTTGCCAAATTTCCGCTCCTAGTTTATTTTCTCTAGGAGAAACGAATCAACTTAATGGCTCGAAATTTACATGGAACATTCAGCCAAACGGGGGAGAAAATCAAGGATGTTTTTAAGAAATTGCATTGACTAGTTGTCCAAAGGAAAAATAAAGTGTGACATTACAAAGAGAGGTACATGGTTTTGCACTTGAGCCATCAATACATCAATATATGGAAATTGAAACTGGGGAAACGAGGCTAAAATTATGCACATCAAAATAGAGACATTTTTGCTCCAAAATTGGAGCATTTACAAATTAATAGAGTAAACTAAAAAACTATGGTCTTATAGCTGTTCAGCTGCTTGGAAAACTAGCAACCTCTATAAATAAATACAAATATATTTTGGGAAGGAGAATTTGAATACCTTTCATCTTTGTAATCTACAAATGAAGGTTGGAACTCTTTTGAAGGAATCCAGCTTGAGTTATGTATCTGGGGTGATCGCAATAGTGTGTCGTACACTAAAAAGTAATGTTTATTCATTAAATCTCTCAATATTACATAAAACACTGACCACGATAGGGTTGAGACTATATTTTAGGAGATTTTCGAAACAATTAACTACCTAAACAAGTGATTTCCTCAAAGATTAAAAGATGACTTTCAGCGGTTACTTGGAGGTAAGTAATAAATTTTCAACTTAAAATTGAAAAATAGGCAACTGCCTGTTTAATAGTATTGAGAGGCTCAAAAAATCTTCAGAGAATGAGGATAGATGAGGACTAAACTAGGGGGACAGAGAATTGCTCTCCAGTCTCCAGATATTACTTGTGGAAGGAATTCATAAAGACGCTATTAGTGCCACGTCACAGTCAGTATTGTTTGTATCGGATTGGATCGGAAGTATCAAACATAATCTAACATTGACCACCCGACCCCCCGCCCATTAATCATCAGAATTTCACGGTAAGAAGGCAGCTAACTGGATTGGCTTGGGAGTAGCTTGACTCATGGCGGCTCTTGTAAGCATTTTCACTTTGCTGAAACTGCTTTATCCCGTCAACTTGATTATACAGGAACGTTCTAGGAATAAAAACACTGTCTCAAACACAAATTTTTATTTCAAACTGCGTGAATTATCTCTGGAATAGTCAAGTTTGATGTTATAATAGAAAGGTTATGCCATTCTTTAGATCCAATTTGATACTGGCTGTGACATGCCACTAATAGCTTCTATAACAGAGGATCTGAGTTTTTTTTTACATTTTGGCTACTTGTAAAGGATGGTCTGAAGTGGGAGCACATATAGGAACAGCAAGCTGAGACACTTAATAAGATCAGCCTTCATGGACAACTTAAAGGGAGAAAAAATAATAAAAAAAAGGATAAAATTTTATGAATCATGGCTCACCGCAACAGGGTGACTTTTCTCCCTGAAGCCAGTTTCAAATAACTTTGCTTTTTAGCTGTATCTGCAAGCTATGGAATCCCATATCAAGCATATACAGCGACGGTATTTAAAACAGGTTTTGATCAGTCAAGTTAACGTCTCTAAAGATCAGGAGCTCAGTATCCCTGCTGCACTGCAAAAACCTTCTTGAAAAGCTTGAGATCTTCAGGAATGGTATATCGCAATGGGTCAAATGCCAGTTTAAACTTTAGAATTCATAAATACCCACTCAGTGTGCATCGCCTCTAAGCAGAAATAAGTCTAGCCGTAAGTCCTCTCTAGTTCAAATAAGTCAGTCGACTTCGATTTTAAGACTGAGTGATCCTCCATTCCAGTTCTTGAATTGGGTTGAAGTGGCTCAGAGGTAGAGTAAAACAGGCAGATAATCCGTCACATTCCTCGAGTTAGGAGGGGCCACTTTACTTGGCAGGGCCAATGAGCACTGAGCTGGGGTGCAGTAACTTCCCAACCACGCGACCGGCCGTTTGCATGAAATGGGGGAACCCATGAGAGGACGAAAAAAGTGGGGGAACCTTGGGAGGTTTTTTTTTTCAGGGTTAGGGGGAAACTTGACAGTTGAGTGCGCTTCTTTGAGGGAACCTAACTGTCAAGCGCACTGTTTTAGGGGGAACAAAACATTCGAGTGCTCTGTTTTTAGAGGCACCAAACTGTTGATCACGCTGTTCTAAGGTCGACAGCGTTACTTAATGCGTCTGGCAAAATGCTGCAAATACTTAGAATGGGGGAACCTAAATTTCTTTTGGAGGAACCATAGAGAGTTACTGCACCCCTGCTTGTGAGAATATATGGAATATACCATACCATGGAATCGGCACTACATAACCAACCGTGTCAATCAATGGTAATATCACATCCCATTTTACTTACTTTTCGCTGCTGTCGTAAGGTGACTGATAGTACATTTCATAATTATCCATCGTACAAGAAAATTTCAATATAAAATTATTTCTTCGACACAACAAAAAAAGGAAGTTTAAAGGCACTTAATTATAAAATTCTTGATGAGTATTTACACTAGAGACGAGTCGCCATTATAAAATAAGGCCTGAATACACGATCAGCCTGAGCATAAAGCCGACTGCACACAAGTGTCCAGTCCACCTACAAACTCGGGGCCTCAAAGAGGCTCATCGATGGAACTGCTGACTGTTGCCTTTCAAAGATCGTAGGGCCTAGAGGTAGAGTACCTTTATATAGAGTCCCTTTATACCCAGAGTTAAGACAACTCACTTTTGGTTGAGCTGAAAGTGGCCTAAAAAAAAATCCAATTCTGATTGGTTCTCGCTCATGGAGGCCGAAACGAGTGCACCAAGATAGAGTCCCTTTATATAGAGTCCCTTTATACCCAGAGTTAAGACAACTCACTTTTGGTTGGGCTGAAAGTG